CATCCATTCATCAATACATCCAACCATCCATTCATCAATACATCCATCCATCCATCCACACATCCATCCATCCTTCTATCCAGTCATTCATTCTTCCACCCACCCACCCATCCATCCGTTCAACCATCCCTTCATCCACCCACCCATCCATACATCCACCCGTCATCCAGCCGGGCAGTCGGGCAGCTGGGCAGCAGATCAAAAAGTAGTAATAACAGCACATTCAAATATGCAAGATAAATCTGTATTAGCTATTTTAAGAGTAACATTTTATTTAGATGAAACATTTTTCTTCCAAGAAGTTTAGGTTAAGATGGAAGTATAAGTAGTTTAAAAGTGACAGTGTCCTTACTTAGTAACAGTGGGAAGAAAAATTTTTTTTTATAATCTTTATGCACATTTTCAATCTTATATTTATTATATTTTAGGTTTTAAACGAATCTGGAGCACAGTTGGAATTAAACTGTTTTATAAGTGATTTCATTTGAACTTCAATTGAGAATTTTTATTTCCTTTGAAAAAAGAGACATGAGTCAACTCTGAATCAGCCAAAACATTAAAACTGCTGGCATGAAGTGAATTAACTGGATCTTGTCAGATGTTTTTGCTATGAAACTTGTTGTCCTGACACTGTATGGATTTCATTACATTATGATTAACCTATCAAACCTGCTCAGAACTCATTCTAAGAACATACATTAAAAATAATCCAAAGAGTGCTCAGCTGTATTTATAAATGACAATAAACCCAATTTAATCAAGCCTTCAGGAAGTGAGCACGAATAAATCAGAACCACGGCAGCCCCATACCGTTTATTACGTCAACAGATCCACTTTTATGCTGCACAGGTCAACCATAAAAGCTTTATGGATAATTACTTCAGAGGTGTTTTTATACTTTAATATGAACCTACACAAAATAAGACGGACAACTCAACCACTTGTCAATCATTGTGTATTCTGAACCAAAGACATTTAATAACCGTATACAGTCTGACATTAATAATGTCTAATATTTGGTTTGTAGGAGTCTGAATAATAGCTGTATTGCCTTTATGTTTAAATAATTCCAGTGTCATTGAAGACTATCTCATAAACTGTGAATCAGAGCAAGATAATACCACAGCAGCCATCATGTCTACTGAAACTTGTGCACATGCAGGTTTGTGAAGGCAGTGTTTAAATTACTAAATGATTTTGACAGAGATGTCCATATGAGTATCAGTGGTACATGCACAGTTCAGAGAGGTCCAGTTATGTTTCATGTGTTATGAATAGCAGATGTGTGCTTTTTTTGTGTGTCATATGTTTATTTTTCTCTTTAGGCTTTTGTAAAACTTCATGGTTCCGTCTCTCCTGATTGTTCCTGCAGCTAGGTACACTGGAGCCTCTGCTGCAGAAATTCACAACAGAGGATGAGAAACAACTGAAGAGGATATTACAGCGCCTACACATCTTGGCAAAGGTGATCACAAATCATTAGAGCCATTATTGAATGACTCATGCACACCCTCTGAAACAATTATCATTTAGTGTTGATTTCTAACTTCAGTGTTTATCTCTGATCAATATTAACAGTGATATTTTCTGAAACGTTTCTTTGTCGTGTCTTACAATCCTTTTTTTTTTTAGCCTTTACACATGTTTACACTAATAGATACACAATTTTATTTAAATTTCTGCAAGGTAAGCGTTTCAGAGTAACAAGTGAATGAATTACCTGCAAGGATTATTTTTAATTCAGCTAAATAATGAGCAAAGTGAGATGATTTCACCTTTCATAAATGAGAACTTTCATGTTGCAGCATGCCTCAGAGAACAGTGTTCGCCTAATGGTGGATGCAGAGCAGACCTACTTCCAGCCAGCTATCACCAAACTCACTGTGGAGACACAGAGGATGCACAACAAAGAGACGCCTGTGGTTTTCAACACCTATCAGTGCTACCTAAAGGTCAGGACCAACAGCCAGAAAGAAAACCAGATCATTAAGTTTGTAAAAAAGGAAGACAATAGCACAAACACAACAATTATAATCTTTTTGACGAAAAAACAATGTGTTGCGATGCTATCCAGATATCAGATACGAAGCTTTATTTCTCAAAATCTGAAGAGATATTGGTCCTAACATTATTCTCCATTTGTCAAATCCACTGACCCTCGGCAAATCCGATCCAAAAGCACAACATAAATGACATAATCTATTTTAAATGAAATAGATTTTCATAACTGCTTTCTTATTTAGACGATGTGTGAACTTCATTGAATTGCTACAATCAAGTTTAGCCACGTTTTCATGAGTCTGTTGCTTTTTTGTTTGTGGCTCTGGCACACACACATAAAACAGAGCTGACCAGTCATCTCAGCTAATCCTTTCTGCCTCATTAAAAAAGTGATACAAGGCCACACTGACGTACCCACATCACTCTTTTTTATTTTTGCTTGAAGCACGTTAAGGTTGGACGTTAAGGTAACAAAGATAAAACAAACCTTCTGTATCACATTAGTTTTGGCTCCGTAATTAATTTTATTCAATATTGTCTGGAATAAATTGAATTTGGTCTCATGAATGTTTGCTGTTTTTATTCTGCAGGAAGCCTATGACAATGTAGCCATGGACGTAGAACTGTCTAGACGAGAAGGTTGGCATTTTGCTGCCAAGCTGGTGCGCGGGGCATACATGCATCAGGAGCGAGCGAGGGCCAAAGAGTTGGGATACGAGGACCCTGTCAACCCTGACTATGAGACGACCAACAGAATGTACCACAAGTACGAGCTTGTTGCTTTGCTCATTATCATTTAACCACTAAATGACGGTTGAAGTTACTTTTAACTAGACAACTCCAATTTATATTTTCACAAATAATCCAATCTACCTGGATCAGATGGAGCCAAGATTATTGAGTTCTGCATTTTTTAGACACTAACAACTGATTAATTAAGTCAATTCAAGATGGCCGCCACAGCTTATTAACAATAGCCAACGTGAAGATGGCTTTACCTTAATACAAGATGATCCTTATATTCAAGTTCAAGGTTCTTTATTGTCATTCACATCACATGTGGTACACGAGGTGGAATGAAATAGTGTGTATATATACAGTACAGTTTTTCTAAAAAAGTTAAATCTGGTCCTCTGTTTTTTTTTTTGTTGTTTTTTTTAATGTCCAGAGGACCAGATTTAACTTTGTTAGATTTTTCTACCTGGATTATTGAGCATGCATCAGGATAGTACAGTGTTTCCCCTACCATTATACAAGCAGGGTGCCCCACCCTGTCAACAGAACCGAGCGCCCTGCCTACCGAACCCCACCCCATCGTCCACAACTGTCGACACTCATGTAGCACTAAGCTAGTGGCGTATAATGTGCTAGCTAAAAAGCTTCAGTGCTCAGCTTCCCTCACGCTGAGCTGAACACAACAACCACCATGTTTGTTTCCATCCATCACCTTTACCCGCATCTTCCTTTTCCAGTTGTGTGGGTCACTGGTGCCCATATCCAGCAGTCACTGTACGAGAGGGGACACCCTGGACAGGTCTCCAGTCCATCACAGGGACACATGGCAACAAACGAGACAAACAACCATTCACTCTCTCACTCACACCTAGAGACAATTTACAGTTTACAGTTTTTGGTCTGTGGGAGGAAACTGGAGTACCTGGCGAAAATCCACGCATGCACGGAGAGAACATGCATTCTCCACCCAGAAAGGCTGGGATTTGAACTGGGATGACCTGCACCCTGAGAGGCGGCAGCTCTACCAACTGCGCCACCGTGCTGCCCTTGTGTTTGTTTCATAGTTCTTATTTTATTTTTTATTTTTTTTGTAAGGTGCTTGGATTATGTGCTGGATGAGATTGCCCTCAATAAAAAGACCAATGTAATGGTTGCTTCCCATAATAATGACACAATAAAGCACACCGTGAGAAGGTAAGATTGAATTTCTCTCTAAACGCACAGCTGAAAGCCCGCTGAACATTTATTTTTTGTATAAATTAATCTAATCTTGTTTGTTTATCTTAATCACTCAGAATGAACGAGCTGGGGCTCTTACCCTCAGAGAACAAGGTGTTCTTTGGTCAGCTACTTGGCATGTGTGATCAGATCAGCTTCCCACTGGGTGAGAAAAACACACAACCCCCCCACACACACAGTCCTTCAGGGCCAAGGCACTGGCCTTTCCTGCCTTACGTAAGGATGAGTTGAGAGTTGCAGTCCAGCCTCTGGGGGTGGGGGGTATTTGCTGTCCTTCTGCAGCTCTCTGCTGTCTCACGAGGCCTTGGAGCTACACACATAGCCCACAGGTTGCACAGGCTGCGACCAGCACACGTCAGTCCCAGTCTGCAGCTTGTGATGTGACATATGAACTGAGACACCTCGGCATTGACCAGCTGTCTTAATGACACGTCACTGTTGCCTCACACCATTTTATTTGTCAGTCAAAGACGGACACAGCCGGCAGTTGTCCATCAACGTAAGTCTCAAACTGAAATGTCCTGGACTCGTATTAATATTAACAGATCGGAGCCTTTTCATTCCAAAACAACAAGACGTACTAAAACTGACTAACGCTCACTTAATGCACCGATTGTGCCATTTGTAGTTTTTCTAAATTTCTTTTTGGATGTTTGGGAGGACGTTGACAAGGTTTTGTTTTACTGCTTTGATGTTTTGCCCACAAATATGCATTAGTTAAGTATTTAAGTCCTGGGAAAACATTTTCTTTGTGTGCTGGACTGGCAGCTTTTCAAATTGAAAAGTATCAAGCTAAGAATGTCAGTGCTGCAGTCTTGCCTGGAGAGGATTGTTGCAAAAAGAGGGACGCTAAGCAGGACTGTGTCTGGAGTTCATCCAAAATGACATGTAAAGTTTTCTACCGTGAAAAGTGTTGGAAATGGCATCATCACCAGTTCAAAAACAGAAAACAAGCACAAAAATAAAAAAATTTTTTTACTTTCAACCTTTAGTTATACAGGTTAGTCTCTTTGAGCCTCGAGGACTCATTTACAAGAGAGATCTATTTTAACTAATATAAATTTACGGTACTTGCCGCCGTACACGTCGCACCGCCATATAAGTTGCATCACTCCAAAAATGTCTAATAAAGTGGGAAAAAACTAAATGCTTCGCTTCGCCGTATAAGACGCATCTATTATGCGTCACCTTTGACCACCCAGAAACGTGGGCCAGTGTTGTGCCAAAAATCGATTGGCTGCCAAATGGTGGCTTGGGGAGCATGCACAGGAGAACTTTAACAAGAATTTAACAAGATTAACACTTAAAACCAATTATTTGTTTGCTCAGAATTATAGCAAAGGTGTGTCTCAGTTAAACTTTTACTTAATAAATCCACTTTAGTGGTCAAATCAGCTGCATTTCGCCTGGGTGGTGCAGCAAAATGCAGCTGATTTGACGTTTGCTCCAGGAGTTTCGAAGCGAGACAAAGGTGGCTTAGTATGGCAAGCCAAGTGTCTCATTAATAGCCACTTTTACCTATTAAAGAGACACAGCTTGCCATATCACTCAATGGCCCTCTAGCAGCTGAAAATGGTAGTGTTCAATATTTTCCATGTCAAAATGAATGACATCATCAGATCTCAGCCATAAATTGGATTATAAATATGGGAAAAAAGTATATTAGTCGCTTCGGTGTATAAGTTGCAGAACTTGCAGATTTATGCAAAAGGGTGCAACTTATACAACAAAAAGTATGGTAGGTACCTGCATGCAAATATATGACTAAAAGTTTTAAAAACCACAGAAAGTACTTCCGTTTTAAAAAAATCATACAATTCCACAATAAAAGCATATTAGTATCAAAGAAATTTTGAAGTTTCAAAAACAGGTTAACAAACACCCATGCTAGGCTAATCTAGTGGGCAATAAAACGACAATATTTAGTTTCCCGAAAATCTGTGACCCCCCCCCCCCCCACACACACACACACACACACACACACACAATATATCAACCAATATATTTAATTTGAATTAAATCTAAAATAGTCTACAGTGGAGATTTGGTGCTTAGCTTTGCCTGCTACAAGCTAACTAGTCTGTTAGCTTTTAACTTAACTCTGCTGAATAATTTGATCATTTTAGCGAGTTGCTGGAGTTTAGCTTCAGCTTATACAGTATATGTTAAAATATATACACATGCTTTTGTGGGAAAACTGTAAATATTGTGTAGTTGTGGGAGTTACTACAGATAAAAACCAGTTCTTAAATTCTGTCCCGTATTGCTCTGAACCCCAGGCCAGGCAGGTTTCCCTGTCTATAAGTACGTCCCCTACGGGCCGGTGGGTGAGGTGATGCCCTACCTGTCTCGGCGAGCTCAGGAGAACCGAGGCTTCATGAAGGGGGCCCAAAAGGAGAGAGAGCTCCTGTGGAAGGAGCTGAAGCGCAGGCTCGTCTCTGGGGATCTTCTCTACAGACCGGTGTACTGACTACGCAGAAGAGACTGAGAGGAGAGTTTGTCAGCTTCACGAGTCTTTTTTTAGCTGCAGCCATCAACTATCCATCTCTGGTTGATGGCTACTGCTGCAGGTGTTCGCTTCATTTATCTGATTTTTGTTGTTGTTGTTTGGTTTTACAGATGGACATAGCTGCACGTAGTTTGATTATTTTTAACCACCTTTACCCATTCCATGTGCTGCTGCTGTTCTCTTTTGCTTTCTTTATCCACTACTCCATCGATAAACATTTTTCATTTGTGTCATCCCGTTGTCTGTGGAGGGCTGGCATCCATCAAGTGGGCATCTTTACTGCTCCAAAAGGACTGCCTAAAATGTCAACGAGACCACGACGGGCATCCTTCTTTATTACCCTATTTATCCTGGAGAGGAAAGGCAATAATAAAAATAACAGGATTGATTTAAATCGCAGCAAAGGAAACATTTTTTATTTGAATGTCTGTTGTTGTTTTTTTGCTCTTTCTCTCAGCCACACGGCACCAAGAGAAGTCATCCCTGTACAGTACATTTGTGTTTGAAGGTGTACCGCTCGTTTTAGAACAATATCTTTTTATGAATCATTGGGAGTGCATAAACCTTGCAGCACATCCTTCATCCCTCTTCCTCAAAGAGTGCAAGGCTTTTGTTATTGTGTTCATGAGCAGAAGCTGCATTCTTTTATCAGTGAAGTGTTGCAAGTAAAAATCCAGTTCAGCACTCAGTGAGCGAGCCTTCTTTAAATAAAGTGGCCTGCATGTGTCTTTAGTTCTGCATAGATCATGTGCAATACAGTATGTAGGTAGCTGCCTCTTGCACCTTATTATTTTTTGATAAATGAACACTGATGTAAATATGTTTTGAAGCGTGCGATTGTATTTGTTTTTATGATATTTACTTTTGTGAAATTGCCCAATAAATAACTGTGCACTGATGGAGTAGCAAAGACTCGTTTGTTGACTGGTCTGTTTTGGCCCCGAGCTATTTTCACTGTTTGGGTAATTCTGATGATATCAAGAAACATTTTTTGCACAGTTATTGATACACAATTAATATTTAGGTCAGGGGGTAACCAAGCGTCATGATAATAAGGGACTTGTCATTTTATAAGAGCAACCAGCGCTCTTTAGAACAGTTTTTAATTACCCATGATGCTTCACTCAATACATATCACACAAATTGGATGCATTAATCATTACTCAAAAGAAAACGTTAGTGCCTGTTAGGTTTTACTGAGGCAAAGCACCACAGAGATGTCACTGCAGCCCCATGCTGTTGGTTTAATTAAGAATCAAATCGACTTTTGATTTAGGAAACGCCTTGGGAGTACATTTGCCCACAAAATCCCTGCTTACGGGCTGCAGGAGGCTCTCTCTTTAGCTTCAGTCGATTTAGAAGACATGTTACAGTTTGAGTTCTCCAGCACTAGTTTTTTAAGTCGAGTCAAAACCGGTGTGAACTTACAGAAGCTTATCACTCAGTTTTCTCCTTACATTTGAGCACACACATTTAAAGTCAGTAAAGGATTTTAATGTCTATTAATCCTGAATAAAATATTATTGTGCAAAATGTAAGTTTAAAATAGAATACAATGATTGGTAAATTTAAAACTATATATATATTTTTTTGACAATGCAACACAGTAATCACTAAGCAATTGTAAAAACGCCAATGTCCCCTGTTGTTGAGGGATTTGAATGGTGAATGTATTTTTTGAGATGAGTTTTTTAAATTATTTTCTAGACTGGAACTTGAGCAGGGAATGAAAGGAAATCTTTGGTAGTGCGAGATATTCAAGTGAGTGGGAGTTGCTCTGTGTGTGAAAATAGTTTTTATTTTTATTGCTTATTTGAGGCAGCGTAACTCATACTGGTGAGTGGAGAAAGCTATTTTATCCAGGACCAGGTGCAATGTCGGAGCCCGGGGGTGGTCAGTGGTGGTCTTAGCTGTAGATCTTCAGCCACCCCAAGGGCCACCTTTTGTGGAAACAATTTTTAAGCAGTATTAAAAAACTTGACAGCATAGTTTCCTCAAATGATAGGGGTGGTCAGTAGGGCTGAACAATTAATTACACTTGCAATAATATTGCGATATGATTAAACAAGATTTTCTAATCGCAAAGGTTGCAATTTGACTGGTCATGTGACTTGTGAGTGAGCAGAGCAGGGAGCAGGAGAAGTCAACACTGCGCTTTAACTGGTTGCACAACGGCGTCAGCCTCGACAGAAACTGACACATCTGAAAGTTTGGTACCAAAGAGGGGCGGCACGTCCGTTATTTGGAATTATTTTGGCTATAAAAAAGAATACGCTGCGCAACGACATGCATTGTGCAGAACCTGCCTTGCTGCTGTTGCCACCTCTCGAGGTAACAACACAAATCTATCAACACTTAAAAACACCTCAAAGCCATTTACAATAGTTGCATGGCCCGAATGACAACGACCAAGTGCTTCAACTTCAAGTAGGCACAGTAGCAGCCGACAGGGATCACTGACTGAACTGTTTAAAGGTATTACTCCGTATGAACACTATTCAAAATGGCACACGGAAATAACTCGAGCACTAACTGAGTTCATAGCTAAAGACATGATGCTCATTAATGCAGAGACCAAGCAGCTTTGGTAAACACAATGGATAAGCGGTACAGGATGCTCTCATGCACACATTTTAGTCAAGTTGCTGTCCCGGAGCTATACAAAAAATGCAGAACCAAAGTTGCAGCGGAGCTGAAAATAGTAGAGTTTTTTGCAACTGACACAAATTGATCTATTGCTTGTGTTCTTTGAAAATTACATGAGAAGAAGACATTGAAAAATAATCTCATATTAAATTGCAATCGAAATATTTTGGTTAAAAAAAAAAATCACAATTACAATATTTTCCAAAACCGTTAAGCCCTAGTGGCCAGACATCTTGGATTTTGACGTAGCAATGTAATTTTTGATAGTGAACTTTCTTATGCCTAAATGCAGCCACACACTAACGTGGAATTCAGCACGTTGCTTATTTTTCAAATTCTGCAGCTCATAAGACGGGCAGACATATATGGATGTAACCATATTGGATTTTGATGTGGCTACCCAATTTTTGAAAGGAACCTTTCTTATGCCCAGATGTAGCCACACACTCAAATGGAAGTTTGTACCTCACTTATTTTTCCATTTTTTTGCTCTCACAACATGCACGGACGGCGGGTATTTCCAATCCTCCCTTTTTTCTCAGCGACGGCAAACATTTACATTTTATTCACCTTCACATTTTACTCAACATAGCAATATTTTGGAATCTCTCTTTGTATATTGTTGTAATGTACAATCTGTGATAGATTACATGCTGATGATGTCTTTGTGTTTCACTCAGTCTGACCAGTTTGTTCTGGCTCGCCTTTGATATTTTAATTTGACTGGTCTGGTACATTTCAAAGCTCTGCTCTCAGCGACAGGCCATGATCTATATGAAAAAGCACCATTTTATGAGAACTAACTGAAAAAAAAAAAAATTTTTTTGTAGCAAAAATTACTGAATTGTCTTGTTTCTTGTGAGCTTAAATTGGAGATTGCGTGTCAACACATGAACTGACAGGAAGGAATATCGTGGCTTTGAGCCGCCCTGGAGAATCATGTATTTTTATCTGCTGACAGCAAACTGAGAGATTACACACACACACCAAAAAAACAAAACAAAAAAAAAACCTGTGCACATCCACATTCAGTTCAAAAGCCACAATAATATTCTCAGTGCAGAGATGATGGGAAAGCTTCCTCTCTGTCCATGAGATCACAAAGCTATCAGAATAATTTTGATAAAACATACTTGGAGGTTGATCCATAATACCTTCCAAATACAGCAGGGGATATTTCAGTCCTCCGTAGGCTGTTTTCAATATAACCAAACCTACACATCTGACACAATATCCATCTTTTATTTCAGCATTTTGGGCTGAACCACAGTTAGTCCTGAGTGGTGTTGCTGTCTTACCCGCAGTGCAAACATTACATCTTTACTTACTACATGCTGTTTGACCTTTGGCTGCTGTTCACTATAATAAGCTAAGGGAAATACAGATTGCAGTTTTTTTTTTTTTTGCAGCAGGCATCAGTTACAGGGAGCAGAGTGTGGGTGTAATCTTGTGGTTCCTCTGTGCAAATATAACTAAAAGCAGCAGGCACGAAGGGGAAGTACAGCGAGGAGACTTCTATGAATAGACAGCAGGCTTTGCTTTCTGACATTGCAGCATAATCACAAAATTATTTCTACATGGTCAGCCAGAAGGAGTCCAACTCAGTGGAAATGCTACATGACGTCTTGTCAATATTTAATCGCAACATCTGACATGAACACGGCTCAAATGTCAGACGAAGAGGAAGAGTTGTTAGCATTCTGCAAGACGGTGACATTTTCCGCTGAAATAATTGGCAACACAAAGGAAGGCACTCACGAAATCCCAGGTAATTACAAAAGAATAAGTAAACAAAGCTGACACTTCTCAGGTCTGTACTAATTAACGGATAAACGTCTGTCAAGTTGTTGAAAATTTAATTCAAAAATCTTTATTTTTAAAATCTATCTTCTATCTAAAGCTATGATGGACATGCTCTTTTGGAAAATGTAATTTATCTGAATTACATGAGTCTATTTATTCCTCTCTTGTCTGCGATAACTATGAACGTACATGCACACCAAATATTTGGTGAAATTAACCAAATAAATGCACAAAAATAGATTTAAAGTTGTATTCATAAAAAAAAAATATGTATTGGTAGGATGTTTGTGTCAAACGCTATCTTAATGTCTATGGGAGGAGACTGAACAAGTAATGGCACATACAAGTTACAATGGTGTTTACATGGACCTACTTTTAAATTCTAGTCAGGACCAGAGACCTTTTATAGATTTAAGTTACAATAAATTTTAGTCCTGAAAGAGGAAGTTCTTTCTTATGACCGTGACAATTTATTTACAAAATCACAGGCAGAAGCAAACTTTATTAGTTAC